AAATAATCAGTCATTATCTTAGAATATTGCGTTCCTTCTTCATTTTCTGAAACTGAATGGACTGTGTTGGACTTCCTTGCCGGTGTCCCAGTGCTGCTCTTCGGGGTGCTCCAGCTCTTCTAGTTTCACTGGGTCTCTTTCGCTCTACCATGTCAACTGGTCCATCAGTTCCTCTAAGCCTAACCCAGCAATTACGTTTTTTATTTATAAAAGTTATTTGGGGGGCTGGGGATTTAGCTCAGCGGCAAAAGCGCCTGCCTGGCAAGCACAAGGTCGTGAGTTCAGTTCCCGGTACCGGAGAAAAACCAAAAAAAAAAAGTTATTTGTCTCAATTTTAGCTCTACCTAGTTTCTTTTAAAAAGTAGTTCCTTCTTATTTCTTTAAATGTTTAAATGTACATATTTATTCCATGTGTGAATTTTGGGGTGTTTGTTTGCTTGTTTGTACTTGGTGCTGGGGGTGAACCCAGCGCCTCGTTCGTGCTGACCATATGCTGTTACTGAACTCCACCTCCAGCTCTTTCTAGGGTTTTAATCTGCTCTGTTTCCGTTGAAACTTACTTTGGGAGGGAGAAAGACCTTGCTGTTGGTGGCGTGTTTCCCTTGGATTGGTATGTTTAGGTTATGAATTCCTGTTTAGGTGAATTCTGTGTCAGTCGCACAGACAAGTCATACGTATTCTCCTAGACAAAATGGTTTGGCTTTTGACAAATACCCAACAATGTAATTAGCCAAAGAAAACCTGTTTTTTTTCCTTAATATTGGGGGTTGCCCCGCACTTGTGAAGCAAGCCACTAACCTGTACCCTAACTTACTGAGAAAAAAATTTATTTTTGATCTTTTTGAGACAGGGTCTCACTATGCAGTTCAGGCTGGCCTTGAGCTCACTTTCTAGCCCAAGCTGGTCTCGAACTCGCATCGATCCTCCTGCCTCAGCCTCCTGAATGGTGGGATTACAGGCGTGCGCCACCACGCCTGGCAAGAAATGTTTTGAGAGAGGGTCTCACTGAGTTTCCCAGACTGTCCAAAAACTTGTGATCCTTCTGCCTCAGCCTCTCCACTAGCTGGGATTATAGGCATGTGCCATCATACCTGGCTAGGAAGATTGCTTCTCGGCCTGGAGCTTTCCAGGTTTATTATTGTGAAGATTGAGCTGCGAGAAGAAAAACCCAGGATAGATAATAGCAGCTTAAGCAAGATGAGAGGTTGAGTGTTCATAAAAGTCACCAGCGCCAGGCTGGCATGTAGGTGGCAGCCCCTCTGTGTCTTGGACCAGGCTTCTCCTCTGTTGCTCTGCCACCCTCAGGGTTTTGCTGTCCTCTTCAAAGTACAGGCTGATTTCACTTTATCTTCACTCCAGCATGTAGGAGAGAGCCAGAGGAGACCACCACACACTCTGAAGTTAACTCATCGTTTCTGCTCCCATTCTGTTGGCCAAAATTTATTCAGAAGCTACATCTAGCTGCAAGGGAAGCCGGGAAATGTATTCTTTGTTGTTAGTTATGATCCCTACTAAAAGTGATCACTTCTAGTCACTGGAGGAGGGCATAATAGGAAAAGCCAGTGACTAGTGTCCTTTTTAACTGCAGCACAAATAGTAGGTAGTTGAAACCCAAGCCCTGATGTTGGTAGACTTTTACTCACAGACTGACAGGGAGGAGATTCTGCCCCCATGGTCCTTCCCCAAGAGCCCAGGCTGATGGAGGCAGGTTTCCTTTTGGTGGCCATTTGTTGTGAAATACATCTAAAACACTGCCCCCTGGCTTCCTGTCTAAAACACTGCCCTCCGGCTTCCTGTCTAAAACACTGCCCTCCGGCTTTCTGTGGTGTTACACTCTGTGCTTTCTGTAGGGGCTCAGAGCTGTAGTTTTCTCAGTGCAGTTGTACATTTATGTAGAAAAAGGCTTATATTTATCCAGTATTTCTAAGGTAGTGGAGCTTTTAACTTAATCACTAAAGACACGCAGTAGCTGGGCATGGTGACTCAGGCCTGTAATCCCAGCCCTTGGGAG